TCCCACCAAGGCAGGGTGGCCCGAAAAAGAAAAACTTTCACCATCATTCACTCCATCACTGTCTTGCCAGAATGGTGCTTTACACTACAGTTTTTAAACTGCAACATTAACACCCCTCCTTCAGAGTGCAGGCACTGTACTTCCCATCTCCAGGACTCAAGTCCGGCCTGCCGGTTTCCCTGAATCCCTTCATAAATGTTACTTTGCTCACACTCCAACAGCACGTCAAGTATTAAAAACCATTTGTCTCCATTCACTCCTATCAAAAACGCTCACGCATGCCTGCTGGAAGTCCAAGCCCCTCGCACACAAAACCTCCTTTACCCCCTCCCTCCAACCTTTCCTAGGCGAACCCCTACCCCGCCTTCCTTCCACTACAGACTGATACACTCCTGAAGTCATTCTGTTTCGCTCCATTCTCTCTACATGTCCAAACCACCTCAACTACCCTTCCTCAGCCCTCTGGACAACAGTTTTGGTAATCCTGCACCTCCTCCTAACTTCCAAACTGCGAATTCTCTGCATTATATTCACACCACACATTGCCCTCAGACATGACATCTCCACTGCCTCCAGCCTTCTCCTCGCTGCAACTTTCATCACCCATGCTTCACACCCATATAAGAGTGTTGGTAAAACTATACTCTCATACATTCCCCTCTTTGCCTCCAAGGACAAAGTTCTTTGTCTCCAAAGACTCCTAAGTGCACCGCTCACCCTTTTCCCCTCATTAATTCTATGATTCACCTCATCTTTCATAGACCCATCCGCTGACACGTCCACTCCCGAATATCTGAATACATTCACCTCCTCCATACTCTCTCCCTCCAATCTGATATCCAATCTTTCATCACCTAATCTTTTTGTTATCCTCATAACCTTACTCTTTCCTGTATTCACTTTTAATTTTCTTCTTTTGCATACCCTACCAAATTCATCCACCAACCTTTGCAACTTCTCTTCAGACTCTCCCAAGAGCACAGTGTCATCAGCAAAGAGCAACTGTGACAACTCCCATTTTATGTGTGATTCTTTATCTTTTAACTCCACGCCTCTTGCCAAGACCCTCGCATTTACTTCTCTTACAACCCCATCTATAAATATATTGAACAACCACGGTGACATCACACATCCTTGTCTAAGGCCTACTTTTACTGGGAAATAATCTCCCTCTTTCCTACATACTCTAACTTGAGCCTCACTATCCTCATAAAAACTCTTCACTGCTTTCAGTAACCTACCTCCTACACCATACACCTGCAACATCTGCCACATTGCCCCCCTATCCACCCTGTCATGTGCCTTTTCCAAATCCATAAATGCCACAAAAACCTCTTTAGCCTTATCTAAATACTGTTCACTTATATGTTTCACTGTAAACACCTGGTCCACACACCCCCTACCTTTCCTAAAGCCTCTTTGTTCGTCTGCTATCCTATTCTCCGTCTTACTCTTAATTCTTTCAATAATAACTCTACCATACACTTTACCAGGTATACTCAACAGACTTATCCCCCTATAATTTTTGCACTCTCTTTTGTCCCCTTTGCCTTTATACAAAGGAACTATGCATGCTCTCTGCCAATCCCTAGGTACCTTACCCTCTTCCATACATTTATTAAATAATTGCACCAACCACTCTAAAACTATATCCCCACCTGCTTTTAACATTTCTATCTTTATCTCATCAGTCCCGGCTGCCTTACCCCCTTTCATTTTACCTACTGCCTCACGAACTTCCCCCACACTCACAACTGGCTCTTTCTCACTCCTACAAGATGTTGTTCCTCCTTGCCCTATACATGAAATCACAGCTTCCGTATCTTCATTAACATTTAACAATTCCTCAAAATATTCCCTCCATCTTCCCAATACCTCTAACTTTCCATTTAATAACTCTCCTCTCCTTTTTTTTAACTGACAAATCCATTAGTTCTCTAGGCTTCCTTAACTTGTTAATCTCACTCCAAAACTTTTTCTTATTTTCAACAAAATTTGTTGATAACATCTCACCCACTCTCTCATTTGCTCTCTTTTTACATTGCTTCACCACTCTCTTAACCTCTCTCTTTTCCTCCATATACTCTTCCCTCCTTGCATCACTTCTACTTTGTAAAAACTTCTCATATGCTAACTTTTTCTCCCTTACTACTCTCTTTACATCATCATTCCACCAATCACTCCTCTTCCCTCCCGCACCCACTTTCCTGTAACCACAAACTTCTGCTGAACACTCTAACACTACATTTTTAAACCTACCCCATACCTCTTCGACCCCATTGCCTATGCTCTCATTAGCCCATCTATCCTCCAATAGCTGTTTATATCTTACCCTAACTGCCTCCTCTTTTAGTTTATAAACCTTCACCTCTCTCTTCCCTGATGCTTCTATTCTCCTTGTATCCCATCTACCTTTTACTCTCAGTGTAGCTACAACTAAAAAGTGATCTGATATATCTGTGGCCCCTCTATAAACATGTACATCCTGAAGTCTACTCAACAGTCTTTTATCTACCAATACATAATCCAACAAACTACTGTCATTTCACCCTACATCATATCTTGTATACTTATTTTTCCTCTTTTTCTTAAAATATGTATTACCTATAACTAAATCCCTTTCTATACAAAGTTCAATCAAAGGGCTCCCATTATCATTTACACCTGGCACCCCAAACTTACCTACCACACCCTCTCTAAAAGTTTCTCCTATTTTAGCATTCAGGTCCCCTACCACAATTACTCTCTCACTTGGTTCAAAGGTTCGTATACATTCACTTAACATCTCCCAAAATCTCTCTCTCTCCTCTACGTTCCTCTCTTCTCCAGGTGCATACACACTTATTATGACCCACTTTTCGCATCTAACCTTTACATTAATCCACATAATTCTTGAATTTACACATTCATATTTTCTTTTCTCCTTCCATAACTGATCCTTCAACATTACTGCTACCCCTTCCTTAGCTCTAACTCTCTCAGATACTCCAGATTTAATCCCATTGATTTCCCCCCACCGAAACTCCCTTACCCCCTTCAGCTTTGTTTCGCTTAGGGCCAGGACATCCAACTTCTTTTCATTCATAACATCAGCAATCATCTGTTTCTTGTCATCCACACTACATCCACGCACATTCAAGCATCCCAGTTTTATTAAGTTTTTCTTCTCTTTTTTAGTAAATGTCTACGGGAGAAGGGGTTACTAGCCCATCGCTCCCGGCATTTTAGTCGCCTCATACGACACACATGGATTACGGAGGAAAGATTCTTTTCCACTTCCCCATGGACAATAGAAGAAATAAAGAAGAACAAGAGCTATTCAGAAAAAGGAGAAAAACCTAGATGTATGTATATATATATGCATGTGCGTGTCTGTGAAGTGTGACCAAAGTGTAAGTAGGAGTAGCAAGATATCCCTGTTATCTAGCGTGTTTATGAGACAAAAAGAAACCAGCAATCCTACCATCATGCAAAACAGTTACAGGTTTCTGTTTCACAGTCATCTGGCAGGACGGTAGTACTTCCCTGGGTGGTTGCTGTCTACCAACCTACTACCTATATGCTGGACCCTATTTGGAAATTGGCATCTTTTGAAATTTGTGTGAAATTGGCAAAATTGCCAATTTCGGACCACTTTATTGGATAGTTGAGATCAGTAAATGTGTGGTTTCTTGTACTCATTCAATAACAAAAATGGAGTTCTAGCGAAATAGTTATGATTTTTATCGACTAGTACATTGGAATTGGCTGAAAATAGGGCTCAAAGTGGGCAAAATTGCCGATGCGTAAACATCGTCGAGACCGCTAACTTCGCGAGAGCATAATTTTGTAAGCTTTCCATCAAATTTCATACTTTTGGTGTCATTATGACCGGGAAAAGATTCTCTATCATTTCATAAGAAAAATAATTATTTTTTTCCAAAAAATTTCTGACCCTGAGAACAAGTTTGAGAGGGCCTACTGACCCTGAAAGGGTTAAAATTGAGCTCAAAACAGCGGAAATGTTCGATTTTTGCCGTTGTTCAAGAGTAAACAAATGATGTCACCGTCCAATACGTGTCCAACTGGCCAGTCTAATATGCAGTCACAATTGGGTTAACATTATTTATAAAATTATTACAATAATGCAGTAGTCTGCATAACAGTAAATCTTCTATTTGTTGTGTGAATAAAAATTCAAAATGGAAAACGAGTAATATAAGAGGGGCCTGGAGACGTGACTAATGAACAGAGAAAATGTAATTTTAATGCCAGGAATGTCTGCACTGTTTATTCTGGACCCTATTTTGAAACTGGCATCTTTCGAAATTTGTGAAATTGGCCAAATTGCCAATTTCTGACCACTTTATTGGGTAGTTTCCTTTACTCAATCGACATAACAAATAAAGTTCTAGCAAAATAGCTATGAGTTTGGTTGACTGGAACAATGGGATTGGCCGAAAATAGGGCTCAAAGTGGGCGAAATCGCTGATGCGTATATACTGCCGAGACCACTAACTTCGCGAGAGAGTAATTCCTTAAGTTTTCCATCAAATTTCGTGCTTTAGGCATCATTACCATTGGGAAAAGATTTTCTATCATTTCATAAGAAAAAATATTCTTTTTTATTTGAAAATTCTTTGACACTGAGAGCAAGTTTGTGAGCAGGGACCTCAACAGTGAAAGAGTTAATCCTATTAACCATGGATTATTGATAGGTGATCCTTTCAGCTGTGACCTTAGACATATGGTGCTGCATTGGGACTTTTGAGTTTAAGCTAATGATGATTAATGCTAATAAAATTCTCAAAAATTACAGATACTGTAGCAACTTTAGTCTTGCACTTCAGTTCATTACATGTGCCATGGTACATATTCGTTACATGTACTGAGATACACGTAATGAACAGAAATTCTCATAACCTCACACTAGACATTTTTTAAAAATTAATTGTCTCATTTCTGGTTTCTTTTGGATAATTTGTGTATAATTTAAGCAAGTACAGTAGATATGTTCATACGTTGTGTTATGGCAGAGTATCCACGTGAACCTCCATCAGGACCCAAGCGAGCAGTGAACTCGCGAGCTGCAGGATCTGCCAAGTGAAACCTAGGCCAACGCTTTCTGTTTTGAAAAAAAAAAATAGACTTTAGAATTGAAAATTAATTTAATTTGTTGACAAAATTATATTTTAAAATATTATTTTCATTATTCCTGCTCATTTTATTTGTGTGCACAGGAAACCACTGATATAACAAACGTAAAATTATGGGCAAAATTCACTTGGTAAATTGTACTTAGAATTTATTTATTTTGACTGTAACCTCTTTTTTTTTTTTTTCCAACAAACCAGCCATGACCAAAGAATTAAAACAAAAATTTCTTTTTAAATTTAGTAATTTATACAGGAGAAGGGGTTACTAGCCCCTTGTTCCCGGCATTTTAGTTACCTCTTACGACATGCATAGATTATGGAGGTAGAATTCTGTTTCATTTCCCCATGGAGATAAGAGGAAATAAACAAGAACAAGAACTAGTAAGGAAATAGAAGAAAACCCGGAGGGGTGTGTGTGTATATATATGCTTGTCTCTGTAAGTGCAATGTGACCTAAATGTAAGTAGAAGTGGCAAGATATACCCAAAACTTTGCATGTTTATGAGACAAAAAAGACCAGTAACCCTACCATCATGTAAATTAAAGTATATCTGTAAATTGTGTGGAGCTGGACGGGCACCTAAAGTCAGTACCTGACCAGCAGTGCTGTGGTTCGTACATCGGTTTGTGTGCAGCTTGCAGTAACAGCCTGGTTGATCAGGCCCTGACCCACCATGAGGCCTGGTCATTAACTGGGCCATGGGTGCATTGACCTTCTAAACACCCTCCAGGTATACTTTAAGTATACTAGTTATACAGTAGAGTACTGTACTTTAGTATATTTTATTACTATTTTTTTTAGAGTTATTCCAATATAATGGGCACCCATATTAATCCATTATATATTGTATTTTCATTGTTTGTTCCATAACCTTTTACCCATGGATGGTGTCAGAATTTCTATACAAGATGGGAAGGAGATGGGGTTCGAAGGTGGCTGTATGGTTGGAAGGGAAGATCATGATAATTGTTTCAGAGGTAGCATTATTTTTTTTTTTAACATGTCGGCTGTCTTCCACCAAGGGAGGGTGACCCAAAAAATGAACACTTTCACCATCATTCACACAATCACTGTCTGTTGCAGAGGCACACGGATACAACAGTTTAGATGTCCCTCCAAACTGCCAATATCCCAAACCCCTCCTTTAAAGTGCAGGCATTGTACTTCCCACTTCCAGGACTCAAATCTGGCCAATCAGTTTCCCTGAATCCCTTCACAAAATATTACCCTGCTCACACTCCAACAGCTTGTCAGGTCCCAAAAAACACTGTCTCCATTCACTATCTAACATGCTCTCACACACTTCCTGGAAGTCCAAGCCTCTCGCCCACAAAACCTCCATTACGTCCTCCCTCCAACCTTTTTGAGGATGACCCCCACCCCCTTCCTTTCCCTACAGATTTATAGAGTACACATATATGTACACATTTATGTATACACACTCGCCTGAGTTTTCCTTAGTTTTTCTTTATAGTTCTGGTATAGTTCTTACAACACGCATGGCTTATGGAGGAAAAATTCTTATTCCACTTCCTCATACCTGGAACTCTCCAGGTCCAGGTATGAGGAAGTGAAATGAGAATTTTTCCTCCGTAAGCCATGTGTGCTGTGGAAGTCAAATAAAAATGCCAGGAGCAACGGGATAGTAACCTCTTTTCCTGTACAACTTACTAAAAATAAAAAAACAAAAACTTTTAAGTTGGGATGTTTGAATATGCATGGATGTCCTGGTTCTAAGTGACACAAAGCTGGAGGGGATAGGAGAGTTTTAGTTGGGAGAAATAAATGGGATTAGGTCAGGGGTTTTTAATAGAGTTAGAGCTAAGGAAGGAACAGCAACAATACCTGGAGAGGGTTTCGAGGATCAATGCCCCTGCGACCCGGTCCTTGACCAGGTCTTATGGTAGATCAGAGCCTGATCAACCAGGCTGTTACTGCTGGCCACACGTAAACCAACGTACGAACTACAGCCCAGCTGATCAGGTATTGACTTTAGTTTCCTGTCTAGTGCCTTCTTGAAGACAGCCAGGGGTCTATTGGAAATCCCCTTTATGTATGCTGGGAGGCAGCTGAAGAGTTTTGGGCCCCTGACACTTATTGTGTTGTCTCTTAGTGTACTCATGGTGCCCCTGCTTTTCACTGGGGGGGGGGCTGCATCTCCTACCGAGTCTTTTGCTTTCATAGGGAGTGATTTTTGTGTGCAAATTTGGTAGTAATCCCTCTAGAATTTTCCAAGTGTATATTATCATATATCTTTCTTGCCTGCATTCCAGGATCAGTTATGGTAGGAAAAGAGAGAATATAAATGTATAAATTCAAGGATTATGTAGAGTAAAATAAAGGTGGGATGTGAAAAGTGGGTTATAATAAGTGTTTATGCACCTGGAGACAAGAGAAGTGTAAGGAGAGAAAGAGATTTTGGGAGATGTTGAGTGAGTGCATGGGAAGTTTTGAACCAAGTGAGAGTACTTATGATGGAGGACCTAAGTGCTAAAGTGGGTAAAACTGTTATATAGGTAGTAGTAGGTAAGTTTGGGGTGCCAATGAAAATGGTGGGGGCCTTTAATTGAACTATGTATAGAAAGAGGTATACAAGATATGATATAGCATGTAATGAAAGTAGTTTGTTAGATTATGTTTTTGGTAGATAAAAGGTTGATGGGTAGACTTCAGGATGTGCATATTTATAGAGGAGCAACAGATATATCAGATCATTATTTAGTTGTAACTACAGTTAAAGAGGTAAATGGAACAAAAGGAAAACAGCAACAGCTCTGAGTGGCTCTGGAATGCACCATTTCATTTTGACTTCTTCTCTAATCATTAACATTGTACATAGTGTAAATACTGGTGAAGAAATATATGGGTAAAGAAATCTACCCCTACTGTGTTTGCCTTGCCCTTGCTCTGCCCTGCTGACTGCTTTGTTTGGCTGACTTAGTTACAACCAAGTGCTACAGGCCTTTAGACTACCATCTGTGGTTGTAATACCATGTTATGTAAAAATGGCATGTAACACAATGATCTACTGTATCTTGCTAGCATGCAATGTTAATGCTTAAATTTTAAAGGCAGTTAATTATCAGGAAGTTTGTGTTTACCACAATTTGCGAAGAAAATTATATTTAGAACTGAAAGTTGCAGTATTACTTAGGAAATCTGTATGAGGCAAAGTACAGTTATTGCAAGAGGTGGTTTTTGAAGACTGATGCCATCTGTACACAAGTTATAGTTATTAATGACAATGCTATAAAAAAGAAAATGGATAAAGCACAAACTAAGCTCAGTAAGTCTCTAGAATATTCAGTTGCTGCTAATATAATGTACATTAAAACTGACCACATAATGAAATGTTTAGAAATAAGCTGGGCAATGTCAGCATTTAAGGGCATTTACACATTGTGAGTGGAAAATGCAACACAGGTTTTAGTGCAACTTGCACAGAGAGGTGTCATGGTCTTTGATATGCTCAAATAAAGGTTAGTACAGTATATTATAGTACAGTACAAGCATGAAACAATCTCTGAGCAATCCTATGCCAGTCCAGCAAAAATGAAATGACAAACAAGTGCCTTTACATATCTTATACTCACAGGCTTGGCTTATCACTGCGAGTGAAAGCAAAACATTTCCTCTCTGTTGCCTTCCTTGAGAATGTAAGTTGCTGTTTAACCTGAAAAAATAAACTATGAGCACATTAAAATATCTATTAACAAAATATATAATCTTGAAAACGTGTTTGGTTGTCCATATGTGGCCACTCTTAAAATTGATTATCAGTAAATTACATTCAGCATAAATGCCCAAAGAAAAACAGTGTACAGTAAACCATCAATTTAACAGACTTTGGACATATGGGACCAAATCTGCCGAGTCAGTTCATTCAGACAACAAAGTTCAATAGTTATGTAATTGCTCATTATTGTTACAATTACAGCAAAACAATCTTACCTGCTTACCTTTATTAGTATGCTAAACTGAGAGTTTACTGTACTGCACTACCCAGTATATCAGTTATGAAAAAGTAATACATTTAATTAATGCAAAATCTGTAAAACCGTACAATGGAACCTCTGGTCACGAACGCTTCCGAACATGAACAAATTGGTTCACGATCAAAAAATTTGCCAAACTTTTGCATCTCATCATGAACACATAACTGGGTGCTGAACAAACACAGCCATTTCAATTTTCACATTCCATGCCATTTTTTTCATGCACCAATTTTCCTTGCTTCCTGTTGTTTGTGTACACTTAACAAAGACCTTTGCCTTGTAGTTTGTCTCGGTCAGACATGCATTCATTTGCTGTGAACTCCTTGTGTTGTATTTCGTGCATTTTTTAATTCATTTCGCGTGTTTTTTTAATTAATTTTTTCTCTATTAAACTGTGCATTATTTTGTATAATTAAGGATTTTTCAAACTTTGATTATTTTTTCTGTGCTTAAAGAAAATACCCCTCACTTAACACCATTTTACCTTAAAACCATACCAAATGCACATCAGTGTTTTGTTTTTTATGGTTATTCAAGGCTATAACTAACAAATGTTACATAGGGTATCATTAACACAGTGAAAAATCATTAAAAATGTATCTTTAATACTGCATCAGAAAAAGATATAATCAGTGACAACTCACCTTTGACCAAGCATAATGCATGGTTGGCTTCTTAATACTATCGAGTGTACCAAGGGCCCAGATTATCATGGCTTCACCTGTGTCTGGGTATGGTATGTCTCCAGTGTCCGCTGCTCAAAATGAGAAATGGTAGTGAAACAGTTGTGGAAATATGATATACAGTAAGTTTTGAATAGTAAATTAAAAAAATGCACATGTACTTTGTAAATAAATGATTAAGATAAAAGAAAAAAAAACGATTACATGATAGATTTTCCATCTCTAAAATTTCCAATTTCCTTTACTTTGTGCAGCACTGCATAACCCTTATGGCTTTAGCAGTTATTATTATTGCTGCAACTGCTGCACATGTACTTTGGAAATAAATCTTTCTTTCTTTCTTTCAACACACCGGCCGTATCCCACCGAGGCGGGGTGGCCCAAAAGGAAAACGAAAGTTTTCTCCTTTTACATTTAGTAATATATACAGGAGAAGAGGTTACTAGCCCCTTGCTCCTGGCATTTTAGTCGCCTCTTACAACACGCATGGCTTACGGAGGAAGAATTCTGATCCACTTCCCCATGGAGATAAGAGGAAATAAACAAGAACTAGAAAGAAAATAGAAGAAAACCCAGAGGTGTATGTATATATATATGCTTGTACATGTATGTGCAGTGTGACCTAAGTGTAAGTAGAAGTAGCAAGACATACCTGAAATCTTGCATGTTTATGAAACAGAAAAAAGGACACCAGCAATCCTACCATCATGTAAAACAATTACAGACTTTCGTTTTACACTCACTTGGCAGGACGGTAGTGCCTCCCTGGGCGGTTGCTGTCTACCAACCTACTACCTAGGTTGGAAATAAATGATTAAGATAAAAGAAGAAAACAATTATGTGACTGATTTTCCAAAATCTAAAATTTCCTTTACTCTGTGGAATGTTGCATGACCTTTAGGGATTCTGCAATTTTTGCTGCTGCTGCTAATAATAATACAGTGGACCCTCGACCAGCGATGGCATCGATTAACGATAAGTCTGATTAGCGATACATTTTATCGCAAAAAATTTGCCTCGATTAGCGCTAAAAAACTCGACCAACACTATTCCTTCCCTCTGAGATGCGTCCACTTCTGGCCAGTGTTTACAAAACCCAGCCAGCCACCGCGGTCGCTTCCAAGCATACAATCAGAACATTTCATATTATCACAGCCTTTTTAGTGATTGCACCTGCAAAATAAGTCACCATGGGCCCCAAGAAAGCTTCTAGTGCCAACCCTACAGCAAAAAGGGTGAGAATTACTATGGATATGAAGAAAGAGATCATTGCTAAGTATGAAAGTGGAGTGCATGTCTCCGAGCTGGCCAGGCTGTACACAAAACCCCAATCAACCATCGCTACTATTGTGGCCAAGAAAACAGCAATCAAGGAAGCTGTTCTTGCCAAAGGTGCAACTATGTTTTCGAAACTGAGATCGCAAGTGATAGAAGATGTTGAGAGACTGTTATTGGTATGGATAAACGAAAAACAGATAGCAGGAGATAGCAGCTCTCAAGCGATCATATGTGAAAAGGCTAGGAAGTTGCATGACGATTTAATTAGAAAAATGCCAACAACTAGTGGTGATGTGAGTGAATTTAAGGCCAGCAAAGGTTGGTTTGAGAGATTTAAGAATCGTAGTGGCATACATAGTGTGATAAGGCATGGTGAGGCTGCCAGTTTGGACCAAAAAGCAGCTGAAAAATATGTGCAGGAATTCAAGGAGTACATAGACAGTGAAGGACTGAAACCTGAACAAGTGTTTAATGGTGACACTGACAATGTTGTGAAACATGTTAGGAATGTCATAAAGGAACGGGAGGTACAGGCCTCTATGGGCAGATATGTTGTGCGACAGAGGTCCAGTGACTCTCAAGCTGGTCCTGTGGAATTAAAAGAAGGGAAGTAACCCCGAAAAAGGACTTGCCACCTCAAGTCCTAATGGAAGGGGATTCCCCTTCTAAACACTAAGACCATACACACACTCCCCTCTTCCCATCCCATCAATCATCACCAGATCTTCAATAAAGGTAAGTGTCATGTAACTGTGCATGTCTTCTTCAGTTTGTGTGTATTAAAATTAATATTTCATGTGTTAAAATTTTTTTTTTTTCAATACTTTTGGGTGTCTTGCACAGATTAATTTGATTTCCATTATTTCTTATGGGGAAAATTAACTTGACTAACGATTATTTTGACTAACGATGAGCTCTCAGGAACGGATTAATAGCGTTAGTCGAGGGTCCACTGTAATAATAATAATAATAATAATAATAATAATAATAATAATAATATAACTGAAAAAAGTTTATTTAACCCTTAAACTGCCACATATGTTGATCAATGGTTGCACATGTAGTGCCACACATGTTGATCAATGGATGTACATGTAATGCCACACATGTTGATTAATGGCTGTACATGTAGTGTCACACATGTTGATCAATAGCTGTAGTGCCACACACATTGATAAATGGCTGTATATGTAGTGCCACACATGTTGATCAATGGCTGTACATGTAGTGCCACACATGTTGATAAATGGCTGTATATGTAGTGCCACATGCTGATCAATGGATGTACATGTAGTGCCACACGTTGATCAATGGACTTCGAAAAGGCGATATATGACATGCCCATGCATTCTGCCCCAGGCTCAGACTCATGGAACTCCGTGTTCATCAAGAATTGCAAGAAGCTCCTATCATGTGCCTTTAACATCCTATGGAGAGGGAGCATGGACACAAGGGTTGTCCCACAGTTGTTAAAAACAACAGACCGAGCCCCACTCCACAAGGGGGGCAGTAAAGCAATAGCAAAGAACATAAGAAAGAAGGAACACTGCAACAGGCCTACTGACCCATGCAGAGCAGGTCCATGTCCCCCCCCCCAGATTAGACCAATGACCCCACCCCCCCAGATTAGCCCAATGACCCACCCAGTCTGGTCACCTCCACTCAAGGATGGAGCACTGCACCAGACCCAGCAGCACAAGCTAGTCAGGTCCAACTCACACCCACCCACACCCACTCATGTATTTATCTAACCTATTTTTAAAACTACACAACGTTTTAGCCTGAAAAACAGTACTCGGGAGTTTGTTCCACTCATCCACAACTCTATTACCAAACCAGTGCTTTCTTATATCCTTCCTGAATCTGAATTTTTCCAACTTGAAACCACTGCTGCGAGTCCTGTCTTGGCTGGAAATTTTCAGCACGCTATTTACATCCCCTTTATTTATTCCTGTTTTCCATTTATACACCTCGATCATATCCCCCCTAATTCTAAGCCTTTCGAGAGAGTGCAGATTCAGGGTCCTCAGTCTATCCTCATAGGGAAGATACTGGAGTTCTGCAGGGAAGGGTCCTTGGACCCCTGCTCTTCCTCATTTACATCAATGATCTTCCAAACATATTCCAACACCTGAAACCCATTCTCTTTGCTGACAACATGACTTATGTCATCTCCCACCCTAATCTTGCCACCCTCAACACCATTGTTAACGAGGAGCTGCTCAAAATATCGACTTGGATGACAGCCAATAAACTTACACTTAACAGTGGCAAAACCTACTATATTATGTTTGGTAGCAGAGCAGGTGTTGCGCAACTTAACATTAAGATCGACAACACTCTAATTGCCAGACATAATGAGGGCAAATTCCTTGGCCTATACCTCGACAACAACCTAAATTTCAGCACCCATATCCAACACACAACAAAAAAAAGTATCCAAAACTGTGGGGATCCTCTCCAAGATACGATACTACATACCACAAACTGCCCTTCTCACACTATACCATTCACTTAAATATCCATACCTCACCTATGCTATCTTTGCTTGGGGTTCAACTGCAGCAACACACCTTAAGCCAATAATAACCCAACAAAAAGCCGCAGTAAGAATCACTAAATCCCATCCCTGGCAACACACCCCCCCACTCTTCATAGATCTAAACTTACTCCCTGTTCAGAACATCCACACTTACTACTGTGCAATCTATATCTACAGGACCTTAAATTCCATTATTAACCTTGACCTAAAACGCTTTCTTGATAGTTGTGACAGGATCCACAGGCATAACACCAGACACAAACATCTCTATGACGTTCCCCGTGTTCGACTAAACCTTTACAAAAATTTAATATATTTCAAAGGATCTAAAATTTGGAACACCCTACCTGAAAACTCTAGAACTGCAGACACATTCATCACTTTCAAAACTACAGTTAGAAAACATCTTATCTCCCTGATCCACCCCGACAACTAACTACATGATAACCACCTGGTGGTTCACAATTACACTCACTCACCCACTGACTATAAACCCAGAAATACTAATCTTAAAATAATAAATCCTACCTAGTCATAAGTTTGCCTATGATACTTCAATATAGACACCTTGTATTGTGCCAAAACAAAAGCATTCACATTGCTAAACTCACAAATTATGATGAAGTCACTTAGCCTTAATACCATAATCTGTAAGGATTTAATGTTAAGATTTAATCTAAGTCTGCTCGAAATGCCTAGCCATGCTAGGTGTCCTAGTTGCCCCCTCTGTAATTAGTATTTTATAACATGTAAACCACACAATATCCAAAACCTGTAAACCCCACATTGTAACCCTTATAGAGAATAAACATGAATTGAATTGAATTGAATGGGATCATCTTTGTCATCCTCCTCTGTACGTTTTCCAGAGCATTTATATCCATTCTGTAATACGGTGAAAAGAACTGAGCAGCACAGTCTAAATGAGGCCTAACCATGGATATATAGAGTTGAAGAACAACCTGAGGACTTCTATTATTTATACTTCTAGATATGAAGCCAAGAATTCTGTTAGCTTTATTGCGAACACTAATGCACTGTTGTCTTGGGTTTAGATTATTGCTAACCAGAACTCCTAAATCCTTTTCGCAATCAGCAGTATTAAGATCTACACAATCAGTAGTATTAAGATCAATGAAGAGAAATTAAATTACTCCGATATGGAAAATGTAGGAAATTCAAACTTCATCAGAGTATAAAACAAATTCCAACCACACAGCAGAGTGAAAAACAAATGTAAAAGACCTGGGA